TATCCCTCAGCACCTAGTCCTCAGTGTAGACCTCCTAGACTTTAGGTGAACATTTTAGGTGAGGGCCCATCCACCTAGTCCTCAGTGTAGGCTTCCTAGAGCTTAGGCACACACCCTAGGTGAGAGTCCATCCACCTAGTTCTCAATATAGGCATTCTTAGAGCTTAAGCACACTCCCTATGTGAGAGTCAATCCACCTAATCCTCAGCATAGTCTTCCTAGATTTTAGGAGCACACCATAGGTGAGAGTACCTCCACCTAATTCTCAGCATAGGCTTCCTAGATTTTAGGAACACACTCTAGGTGAGCGTTCATTCACCTAATTTTCAAATGAATAATGAAAAACGTCACTAGAGCCTGATTCACGAACTGATCATGACACTAGACACCAAGATGCACCGAGACGTGACCCATGCTTCCTTAATTAAATCAACAGCGAAATTCCCTTAATGACTTAACCTACAATAAAATCCAGTGCATCGGGATTTGAGCTTGAATATTACACTCAAATCCTCCCGGCAATTGGGGAAATTTCTTAATGCCACATATGGATCATTAGACTAGGATAAGTCTAGGGTCTAGGTGGCAAGGGCGATGACGACATTGCTTATGTGTGCTTAAAAGAGGGATACGAATTGAGATTATTAGAATAGTATCTCTTACATCGAGGACCTTCTATAAAAGAGAGGAAAAGATCCATGATACTATTCGCCGATTCTTGGTGGGATCGTTGCCCTCGACACTTTTAGGTTGTCAGTAGTTCTAGCACGGTTAAAGTGACTAGCCTGTGGACTGTACGACTTACAAAAAATATTTACAAAAATAAAATAAAAATCTCTTTTGCATGTTAAAAAGAATTCTGCATAAAAAAAGACTTGAACAATTTTTGCATGAAAACCTTTCTATGAAAATTTATAAAAGTCCATGGTTAGTCATTTGGAACGAGGTTAAGGACTGCCTTTTGTAGATTGTCGGGTTGGCAACTCTTACCCAAGGCCGGGAAGCACATAGTCCAGCTCTGAGCCCCCACTTTTACCAATGTCTTACACCCAGTCCTGATCTTTCATATGTGGCTAATGGTTTCTTTTGCTTGTGATTTTTTACAACTCATTTTTCTGACTTTCGCGTTAGGTTTTCTCGTCTTGTTTAATTTTCTTGCAAGTTTATTTAAATCTCCTGCAAATCATGCTATCATCGCAACATTAATAACATAACAGTAGGAGATGCCCAGATACTCTTTTACAGTTTATCTACAGCATTTTACTTCATTGCATTTTACATTTCAAGTACATTTTATTTACCTGCGATTTGCTTATTCTCCATGTAAAACCAAAACTGAAACAAAACAAAACCAAACATTGACACCAAAACTGTGAAGCACGAACTACCAATCTCAAACACTTAAAACCTGGAGCCATCGCTACGACCGGAGATTGGAGCCAATTTTGTGGGCAGCACGGCGAGGAATTCAGACCGAGTAGCAAGAAGATCTTCTTCAACATTATCTCTTCCTTAACATAATAACAACCCATAGGACTTCGAGGTAGCTCGCCTAGTGCGACATAAATCCTCACTACC